ATATTTTTTACCATTGAATAAAGTTTATTAATTTGCAAATCTTTCAAAATTTAAATTGTTACAATTGTTTAAATATAAATATTTGTATGATTTATTGTGTCCATCAATATTTCAAAATTAATATTTTAAACTTCTTTCAGTATTTCAGCAATGTTTATCGAAAGTTTTATAACAATGAAAGAAAATGTAGCAATTAGCAAATTGTCCTAAATCAACAAAAAAACACAACTTTAATAAAACTAATTTAAAATATCAAAACGCTTTAACTGTATTTAGAATTACAATTTGCTTATATTGTTTATATCAAAATCCTTGTATTATATACTTTCTCCGTCAATAAATTAAAATAAATATTTATTTCAGACTTTCGGCTGTATTTCTATATTAATCACATGATTATCACAGATAAATCAAGCATAGAAATTCGTAAAAGCTCAAAAAAATGCAACTTTCATTTAATTTAAAAACATCGTTTATTTATATGTTTTCTATCATTCATTGGCTCCAATATGTATTTTAAACTTAGTATTTCAGCTGATTATCAAAAGATCTTAAACATTGAAATAAAGTATAGTAATAAAGGAAATCCTTCAGAAAATGCAATATTACTATAATTTAAAACATATATATATATATATATATGTATATATATATATGTATATATATATATGTATATATATATGTATATATATATGTATATATATATGTATATATATATATATATATATATATTTTGTGGTAAATATCTTCATCATTATTACAAAATGAGTATTTTTTAACTTAATTTTTATATTTCAGCTGTTTTCAACATATATTAAACACTGAAATATAGTGTAGTAATTCAGAAAATTTCCAATACGAATAAGAAAAGTGCAACTTTAATTTAATTTAATGACAATAAGCATTTCTTTCAATTTATTTGTTTTGTACTAGTAACTATCTCAATCCAAATTTCAAAATGTGTATTTTTAACTTATTTCAGTATTTCAGCTGTTTAACAAAAGATTTTAGTAAGATGCAACTTTAATCTAATTTAACCTTTTATAATGCAATAAGCTTTTGTTTCTATTTATATGTTTTGTACTACTTTCTGTCTCCATCAATATTTCAAAATGTGTATTTTTAACTTATTTCAGCTGTTTATCAACAGATCTGAAACACTGAAATAAATTGTAGTAATTCGAAGAACCTCTAACATGAAAAAGAAAAACGCAACTTTAATCTAATTTAAATCATCAAAACGTTTTACAATACAATAAGCATTTGTTTCTATTTATATATTTTGTACTATTTACTGTCTCCATCAATATTTAAAACGCAGTATTTTTAACACATTTCAGCTCTGTTTAGTGAAAGATCTATACCACTGAAATAAATTGTAGGAGACATGTACTAAATTTAGTTTAGATATACGGATTATTATTTATAGCCCAATTCTATTTTCAGATCCACGATGGAAGTGGAAATAAATAATATTGTTATTTCCAATTGGAGGCTCCAACTATTTCTGGTTTACTTCTTAAAAAAATAAATACAGTCAATATTTGTTTTTTTTGTACACTTCTATAAAATATAAATAAAAAATAACTTAATATGTAGATTAGTAAACAAATATTAAATCAATAAAAACTGATCAAAAATCGTCCTTTATATCCCTATTTTTCGGAGAAAATGATTATGTCTGAGATGCTTATAACTGCAACATTATAGTACACTACAATGTAAGTTTACATTTCGATATGAGGTAAAAATTTATTTACAAAATAAAAAAAGTGTGTCGTAAAAAGTAACCGTCCGTTAAAAGTCGAAAGGTCAGATCCCTAGACCTTTAACGAGGGGCCCTCGGTAAGGAATTAATTATACGTGAACTCCGCATTTAATAACCCCTTGGCAATACAACATATGCACCTTCATTATTACCAAACGTTATTTTTGTTATTTTCAGGTCAAAAATGAAATCAATATTTTATAAAGCGATTTTATTAATTAAACTATATGTACATAGTTGTAGAAGCAAGAAAAACAAACAAAAACAAAATTGTTTACGTCAAAAACGATTTGTTTTGCAAAATATATTTTTAGTTGCAATCTCATATAGTTATCGATTTTATATCACATGTGGCCCGCGGGCCGCTGTTACGAAAATCCTGCTGTAAAACATTTGCTCTTTACCTTAGGGGTAAGTTACAGTATTGATTATTTCTATAATTCTATTCTATACAACAAATTCACATTTCACTCTCCACAATGAAATTAATGGAAAGTACTTTCCGGATATTCGAGAATCCATAAAAAAATCGGGGAAATAAACTGTGTTTCTTTGCTTGTCAAAATTACTTCGTTGATGGGACATTCCTTGACGAAGATCTTCAAGAAACCGTTTTTCTTTGTATAGGAACCAAAGAGCGTTTACAAATCGGTTCTTAAAAAGTCACATAATAGTTTTTTGATCTGAATTTCCGTTATCCTATTTTACTTAAAAAGTATTATTTATTTGCGTAAGTTAACTGAAATAATTCGTATTCAATAATCAATGATCAAAAAGCATTGAATACGAACGGTTGGTACACAGTGAAATAGGTGATTGATGAAAGATGCACAGTGAAATTAGTGTATCGAAAATGTATTTAACAATAAAACAGCAATACCTCAGATAGTGCGGTTTTTGTGTACTAATTTTTGTGATATTTTTTTCTTTGGATAATATAGTGAATCCGCACAGATTGAAGCCGCAATATGCGAGGTTTTACTATATTTTGTCAAATGGAAAACTGATACTAACGTTCAAAGCAACTACAAAAAATAGTACTAAGCATGGGCTTGTTGTTAAGGAATGCATCATTTAATAGCTTCGGTGCAATCAATTGCTACCGAGGATCGTGATCTCATTTAAATATAAAAAGAGATAAATTAGTAATGAAGTGATTGCAATCATTGACGTTTATACTGCAATTAGTAACAATAATTCAATGTCAGTTTATTGTTATGATAAAATATGCAGTGTAAATATATAAAAGCATTACATAAAACGATAATTATGCTGCAGTATAAATGCATAAAAGCATTAAAAGAAAAGATAATTATAGTGCTCATTTACTCTTATCATTTTTTTCGTAGCACAAATTTGGACGTAATCCTAAATGTTCGTTATATAAAGTCGATATATTCGTAAGTTTAAAATCATACATACAAGTGTGCAGTACACACACATATACTAATCGATTTATATTTTTGGATAGTCTGGTTAATACTATCACTTTTTGTGTTATGTCAGGGTTTTATATCGTAAATTCGTACTTAAGTCATAATTTTCGTAAGTTGAAGATCATTCATACAATAAAATGACATATGTACATTAAAATGAAAAGTTTCTAATATTTAATTGTGTTCTTTATTCAATTTGCATCAATGCAAAAGTGAAATATATTTAAGGAAAATGAAATATTTTATTAAATATTTTTTGTCGTAAGTCGAGTTTAAGCATATAATACAATTTAAGTCTTAATTTTAATAAGCCGAACAAAAATATTTGCAAAATACAAGTGTTACAGAAAGTGAAATGATGAAATATAAAATTCCTAAGATCTTCATGTCCTTGGTAAGGAATTAATTTTATGTGAAGTTCGCATTTCTGTAAATCCATGCTTTACATGCAATTTACATTTGGAAAATTAATTGAAAAGTTATTTCCTTCTGTTTTTTTATTTATTCAATTTCATTTTACAAATAATTATATTATGTTTATTGATATTTTTAGACTAAAGATTTGAGTAAATGTATAAACAAAATAAAAACAAATTGCGTAACTTTAAAATATTTTCTCTTTGACTTGAGAATAAGTTACTGTATTAAGTATATCATAAATTCCATGCTTTACGTCAAATTCACATTTGATCCTCCACAATGGAAGCATTGGGAAATTATTTCCGGGAATTGGAGCATCCTCGAAGTAGTAATAACCCTAAACATAAAAGATAAAAACTGCTTTTTAGCTGTTATCATTTTTGATAGTTAAATTTACTTCGTTAATGGGACATTCCTTAATAAAGTTTTTCAAATAACCGTTGTTAATGTGGTGGTTACCTAGCAACGTTCGGTAATCGTTTTTCAGAAAGTCGCATAGTGGCTTCATGATCTGAATGGCAGTTTTCTTGTAGACGCCATTATCAAATTTATAGAAATTGGATACCAACTTAAAAAGGAAACAAATTACCTCTTAATTATCTTCTTTTAGTTAACTCACCATCGCATCGAGAGGTAAAGGTTTGGTTAAAGTTACGTAGGCGTTTAGTCCTTGCTGCGTCCTGTTGTAACGTTTCAGTCCAAAATTTGCTTTTCCGTACGATTTATTTACGTAAGTCAAATCGAATCTTTCGAATTCAATAATCCGTACTATATTCTTATTTATAAAAAAAACTTATAAATAGATTACATATATAGATTGACAATTTTTTACCTTTTTCTGACCCTTCTGAGAGGTTCGTGATCCATCGCACTGTCTGAGCTATAAAGAAAAATGTATTATCCAAAAAAACATTATATTTTTACTAAAATAATCTAATACTCACATTTAAAGCAACTACATAAAGTAATGCTATATAAAGGCTTATAGTTGTAGTATGCATCATCGAATGACTTCTATAAAATTGCTATTGAGAATTAGCATAGACGTGATTTATTATTTATATATATAGAGAGAGAAATTAGTCAGCAAGTGATTCTAATCATTAACGTTTATACTGTAATTAGTAACAACTATTCAAGGTCTTGTTATTGCTATCATCATGTAAAATACAAGAGTTATTATAGTTAACCTAAACCTTAACTCTTGCAGATGCTTTTCCAATTAAATTCAATTTATTATATACATAAAAAAAAACTTATAATAAACTAATTCATTTTCAGGTATGCTTCTTGTAGCAATTTCTAAATCTTTATTTTATTCTCTTTTCATCTAATTGTTTGGAGGAGATTCATTAATTTTTGTTTGTTTTTGTTTCTAGATTTTCAAGGAAGTTTAAAGGCATGACTGGACAATCGAAAGTGAAGGCTTTTCGAACGGTGCAAAGGAGGAGGATTTCGGCGTAGGCAGCCCCGGTCATCGCCATGTTAGGGCCGACTGGGGGTATTGTGTGCAGCTAATATGATCTTAGTGGCTACTGTCATACTGCTACACAGTGCCGGATTAGCAGGTAATTCATCATAAATATAATTAATTAAATTACAGTTACATAATACATTTAATTAATGCGGATTATCCATTAAGGTAATGCACCACGTACCAAGTGGCCCACGCTTTGAGAAGGGATGGAGTCAATAGTGTTATAATAAGGGACCTCTCAAAGCTTCACTTGAAGCATGACTTATGTAGATATAAGAACATACAATTTTTTTTTGTATAATATTCAACTTACAATTATTTCGACTTATGAACGATGTTGAGGGAATGTAGAGAATTGAGTGCTTCATATATATTTTTTTTTTTACATTCAGTCTCAAATTAAAAACAGGACTTTAAAAAAAATCTAAATAATAATTCTTATAATTTGTTTCTAAATATTTATCTTTTTCAATTTATAGACTATGATGAAACGTTTTTTCTTATTTCAAGTTTTTCGATTTATTTTTTATTTTTTTTTGTTTGGTTCATAAGATTAATGATAGAAAAGTTTATTTTGCATGCAAGCAGTTCATAAATAGAGCTTTTGCGAAAAACACGAATAAGAAACGATAATTAATCCAGAAATCGTAGCCACGTTTCATTAAAGTAATGAACACGAACCGAAGTCTGCAAAAGAGAAAAAGAAAAAAAAAACTTATTTTAATTATGAGCGAGATTATTTTTTGCACGCCGTTAATTAATTTTTAAACTTTAAAATAAAACGTATAATTCTCAAGATACGAGGCGACTTTTTGCTGCAATATGACAATAACAAAGATTTTTTGATGCTTTATACATAATAACTATTGTATAATAATATTACTTACAGTTATCAACTTAGTAAAATTAGGTGATAACAAAATATATTCAAAATGTTTGTAAATATATGTTTTTCGGTTATTTATAAACTAGTTAATCGTTACTAAATTATTAACATTGTTAGTGTCTTTTTTTACTGTGGGCCCATGTAAATTTGTATTTGGAGGTCTCAGACAAGTTTTAATTTGTGTGTCCATGAAATGTGGCTTTGGGAATTCAGGATTTTTTTGTTTTCATTGTAAAGTGTCGATAATAAAAACAAAACACCTGATCTTTGCATTCTATGAAAACCTTAGCTAAATTTAATAAATCAGTTAAATTTTTAATGTAATTTTGGTGTAATTCACTAATTAGCACTGGCAATTGCAATAAGAAGTGAATGGACCCGTGTATAAGTGAATATATTATTTTTTTTTACTGTGGGCCCCGTGTAAATATTTATTTGAAGGTCTCAGACAAGTTTTAATTTGTGTGCCCATCAAATTTGGCTTTGGGAACTCAGGAAAAGTTTTTGTTTTCATTGTAAAGTGTCGATAATAAAAACAATTATGTAAAATTTGTAATGCAATTTTGGTATAATTCACTAATTAGCAGTGGCAAATGGAACAAGAAGTGAATGGACCCGTGTATAAGGAAAGTTTTTTTTTTTTACTATGGCTTCCAGATAACTTTCTATTTGGAGAACTCAAGAAAAATTGTATATGTGGGCCCATCAAATTTGAATTATAGGTATTTTGTGTTAGTTTTCAATTATCAATAATTGAAAGGAAATAACTTGTTCTTTGCATTCTTTGAACATCCTTAACTCGTGAGATCATGTACATCTATCTAGTTTATACCCTAATTGCTACTTATAATTTAATAGCAAAGTATAATTAAAAGTTGTAATGAATTCATAAATTTGTAAATTACAACAAGTACATAAGGTACTAGTTAATATTTAAGTTTCAGTTTATTTTCTGCCAATGTGCATCGCTTGAGCTGAAATCGTATTATAAAACTATGTCGCGATGTGATCAAAACTGTGTTGGCAAACTTTGGAGAATTCTAATTCCATTCAAACCGCATTCTCCTTATCCAGTCGTATTGTGTTACGTAAACTCGGTTTATGCATATGCACAAACGTTCGGAGTTTCGAGACCGCAAATTCGCATCGAGAAAATCCACTTGGGAGAAGCGCCACGCATCTCAACTAATTGCAACCCTTATAAGAAGAGTCCTGTATTGTCTAGTATATTTCAGACCGAACTTGTGCTTTTCGAATTTATTTCAATGGCACTTCTGCGCCTCGGTTCGTCCCACTGGAGTGTTTATCGATGTTATTTTTTTGTTGTAGGTTCGATGCCCGGTGTTCCCGGGGTCCCCGAAAACATCACCGTAACTTTCCTCAACCCCACGTCGGTGAGGGTGTCTTGGGACACCACCGTCGACCACGTTGATAAGTACGACGTGACCTACAAGCCTACAGATGCCAGGTGTGTATGTTTTCTCTTCAAACTAAACTGCAACAAATCACAAAACACTTTTATACAAAAATATAAAACACGTAACTCACATACACACATATGTCCGGAAGTATAATTTAGATCAATCAATTAATTATCAGCACCCATTAGACAATTGGCCAGAACCGAAGCCTCATAAATTATTTTAGATCGCTACAAGTTTCACAAACTATTGATCTCGCTGCGCCAGGTGGCAATGTTCCCATCGAGCTAAAAATTTACTACGAATACTACGAATAATTCGATAACATTTCCACGTACCAGGTTTATTATACTACTTCACTGATTCTCATTCAGGTCAAAAACATGAACAAAATAACACAAAAAATATCTTAGAATTACAGTTTATTAGGTAGAAATACTTCGGTCGTTAAGCCTTGACCAAAATGAGGGATAATCAAAAATTGTAAATATAATAAAAAAATAAATTCATCATTTTATGTACGTCTCATAAATATACTTATTTTGATCCTAATTGCTCTTTACATTACAAATATTGTATACCTAGGTAAACAGCTTTAAGTCTTGTAACTAAGTCATTAAGTAACTAGATTTTATCTAGTCATATAGAACTGCCTAAATTTGTTTTAAGTAAATAGTTAAGAAAATACTAAAAATAGAGAACAACGCTTCAAGTACTGTTTGCACGTGCAATATTAATATTTTTATATTGTGGGTCCCAGATGTTTTTTTAATTTGCGGGCCCCATCAAATTTGACTTTGTACCTTCAGGAAAAGTTTTTTATCTTAGTTTTTAAATGTCGATAATTACAAAAACAAATTTTTTAATCATACAAATGTACATCCAGAAAATTATGGGCATTCCATTCACAATACCCAATTTATTAGAAATTAATATGTCTGTGATAAATCAGTCTTTAAACTTGTATTTGAAAAAAATGGCTTATGCATCATTGCAAACTTGTATACGTCTTTTTTCAAATACTAGGTTTCCTTGATTATACGCTTATTATACCAAAGTTTACAATCACTGAAATTATTCCATATGGAAACTCAACTCAACTCACTTACTATGGAAATACAAGCTGATTGTTTTTAATTGAAGCATAAACCATTGAATATCTATTAGGAAACTTGTTGTTTTCTAATAATAGTACTGAAAACTTCAGATACAAATAATAGTACCAGATCAATGGTTTTGTTTAAACTCTATCCTTTAAATTATATAGAATAATGCACAGAAAAACAGGATTATTTTTTTTAGTAATATTTAAATAAAACCTATACTTTATACTCCACAACTTAATTCTAAAAAATACTCCAGTAGTTCTGAGTATAACTAAAATAAAACGTATATATATGTTTTAATTAAAATGTTTAATGTTAGTTACCTCAACCGTGAGTAAGCACACAAAAAGTTCTAAACTGTGATAGCAAAAAGATCGGTTTTCCGCTCACGTTTGCAAATACCGTCAGACTTCTGGTTTTGTAGTAACGTTATTGGCAGGGTAGTAGGATGAAATGGGATATTGTTGATGGGCGATGTAATACCAATTTCGTGCCTGAAGGCTAGTAAACTAGGACCGCGCAGAAGGAGAGTCAGGTCAAGAACAAGGTAATATTGGACCTCAGGCATTTCCTGATATCTTCGCTCCACCGTAACTGGAAATTTCATGTCATGCAATTTATAATATACATTTACTATATTAATAATATAACAAATTACAAGTTATTTTTCTAATCATCTGCCTTTATATAATGATGTAAAAATATCATAATTTTGCAACAATAAGCAACAAACTACATTAACAATGTTACATTTTTAATAAAATATAATGATGACAAAATTAGTTTTTACTAAATTATGATTTTCATACTAAATTTGTCCTCATTTCTACTAAAAAAAAAACAAAATTTACAATACAGAATTATTGATTTTCTAGTGCTTAGTTACTTAATTATTTATTAATTATAATTTTTCTGGGTTTCCAATATTATACAAAAAATAGATTAATTTTATTTTTAATAGATAATGTTAAAATGTTGGATTATTTACAAATTCAGAATTGTTTTGTCTGTACTTTGTATAAGAGATTTCTTGCGTTTCTTTATTGAAAACCACTCTACTGTAAATTTCAATTCTGAATACTAACACGTTTTCCTAGTGGAAATCTATGTGGGAATGCAACAGACAGAATCCTTCGAAGTATAAGGAAGTTATTAAAACACTATGGACTTCCATTATTTGCTGGAAGTAAAACCTGTATTATTTGCAATACACCGAGAAAACCATGTAGTAAACACAAAACATGTCTTTGACGGAGGGACTATGCAAGTACCGTCCGATTTTCTCTGCTCGATCCAAATCCTTCGCGAATTCTGAAGATATGTTCAAAGCGAGTGGCCACCCGGAAATTGTATTCGTGCAGATAGATAAGATGAGGTTCATCTTTTTACAGTCCGTTCCGAAACCATTGGCGTTGGTCCATCAATGGAAACTGAGAAGGTTTAAGCATATATGAAAATCGAAAAAGCTGTGATTGATACATATGTCGTCATTCACAAAACTTTAAGTTCTGATATCTTCTTCTGAATTTAGTTTCATTAGTGTAGGTAATAAGTAATTACCTCGATTTGTAAAGACTATGTGATATATAATATCTAATTTAGATATATTTGAACAACATAAACCTTTAAAACCATTATCTAATCAATAAAATATCTGAAACTTTTACACATGGTGTAAACACAATTGGTTTATCTAGAACAATAATATTCGACACGAAGATATGACAAATGTTATTAATATTACATAATTGAAGTTATAATATACTCAACAGAATTTAGATATAAAAATAAATTATTTAAAAAGAGAGATACTTTTCGAGTTATTTAGAAAAAATACAGAAATTCTTATTAAAATATTGTTTTATTTTTAAATTTTAACTACAAGAAATGTTTGAGTGGATTGGTTGAAAAGGTCGTAGTTTTGTGTTTAATATTCATATTCTATGATGTAACATGCGTGGCTATCAAGTAATTAAATAAAACATTAAGACTGAAGATTTTAAAATTTCGCAGCTTATAACATAATTACCGCAAACTACACAAATATATTAGAATACTCATTGTAAAGGTCATAGTTTCTATCTATAATTTGCATAATCTTATTATCATGTATTGTTATCGACTAATTAAATAAAAGGTGAAAATACTTCTGATCAAGCTCATCTTTTATACTCACATTTGTTAGCTAATAACAGATGAAGATGCACGCTATTTCATTTGACAGGCAGTTAATGTGAAAGGTCATACTTTTATATTTATTTTCCAGATTCAACGATTTAATTGCAATATTTAAGTAATTAAATTGATTGTAAAGACGTTAATACAAACTGAAAAATCGTTATATCTCGGTCATTAATTAACATTACATTATATCGTGTTTATAAAAATACGCATAATAAAAGACTATTTACTATATTAAATAAAAAAATCTATGTTTTACAAAAAATATAATGTTTTTTATATACTTTGATGAATTCCACAAGACATTATTATATAATTATTTTGTTTTGCTACTAATATCACTATTGATTGTACACAGCTACATTTTTTCTGTTATTGCATTTGTATCTTAGTGTATTTAACTGAATACGAATACCAGTTGGTTTCGGCCTTTGTGGCAGTAAACTGATAACGGAAGGAGTTCCGTGGTAGCACCGGACATTGCGTTACGAAAGCTATTCCATCCATGAGCGTTACACTTCTTTGATGTATTTCGTGCCAACGGATGATTGTTGACAATGTAACCATTAAATTGTGTTTGAAAACGACTATAGTTTACCCATTTGACAATCTTATAAATTTTATCATTAACTAATTTGAAATAATAATACATTTTCTATAACACTTCTTTATTATCATTGGTGGTCTAATATCAGATTCATAACACGACTAAATACGATGAACAAAGTTTTGTCAATATTATATAATACCCTGTGTTCAATCGATTTGCATAGCTAATGCAGGTGCATTAATACACGAGTTAACTAGTGTTAATAATGTTCGTAAACTGAATATTAACCCATAAATAATATTAATATACAAATGTGCAATTATTCGAAGATCAGTCAAACCTGAAAGATGTGCGGAAACAGAATTATTCATAAACAGAAACATTAACTAATCTACGCTTATTTAAACGTTTATTACTGTAATTAATTAACTTTTAACAATTAAACTTAATGGATCAGAGTATCAATTTGAAAATACTCTATAGAAAATACGCTCCGCATAGTGCGGATTCGCGTCTTGAATATGTCATAAAAGAGAACTACGTTTTTTATTCATCAAAATAAAAATAAATTCTAAAAAATAATAAAGAATTAAATTACGTTACAATATACCAAGTATAAACTAATAATAAACTTATACGTTTACTTAATTTTTGATGTAAATAGAAAAAATGTATTAATACTTCTTCATCGATAAATTAAACGTATTAGGGTAATTGGTAATAGCGATTATTAAAACTGTCAATTGTCTAATTATTTTGAAAGGTTTTGAAAAATAAATATAATTAAAATATCGAAATTGTGCTCGAATTTATACGATTATCATCATGGATGTAGGTTATCCCCCCATTGTAATTGTTTGGAATCGTATAAATAATAAAGTGAGAAAAATGTACTGCGACGACGACTGCCAACTCAATTGGTCTGCGACGTCTCTCCTGTATGCCATACGTATTCCATTGATTAGTTCCATGCACGCAACATTTGAATTATGTAATGTCATCGTAATTAGTAAAAAAAGAGATGAAGAGAAGAACGTAGAAAGTATATAGGTGAAAGAGAGAGAGAGAGAGAGAGAAATTGTAGCAAGTTGCGCGTTTCATTCTCAGTTAGTTAGTCGCAAATTCTCGTCCGAAGCAGCTGCTGCAGCTCAGTTTTAGTTTACTTTCAGTTAATCCTAGTTTATTTATGCATTGATTGTAAGTTATTTAG